GGTTACCATGATGTTCTTTGTCCTCGTCTCTCCGGAAGACGGCAGCCCGTCCGTGAGGAAGATGATGAGGGAAGCGGGAAACAGAAGCGTTACGGGTGCGTTACAGAGAGTGAGTGATAGGATGACATGAGTGGTTACCATGATGTTCTTTGTCCTGGTCTCCCCGGAAGACGGCAGCCCGTCCGTGAGGAAGATGATGAGTGAAGCAGACCGAGGCGAGTCCGGCCGCCCGTCCGTCACTCTCCGCAGCAGGTCCGCCGCGTCTAGGATCGCCTGGTTGATGTTCGTGCCTACACAAAATAAAACACGTTTAGACTTTTCAGATCCAACACCAAAAGTTCTCCCACCTAGAGCTCTGGTCTTCCTCGGTAGACAGTAAACTCTTAACTCTAAACATGTAACTACCAAAATAAAACGCGTGTTTTTCTTGTTTTTTTTGGTATACACAACCGGTAACAACTCTCACCGAAGCCTGTCCTTCCTCAGAGTTTCGGACTAGAGAAGCAGTACGCCACTATGAAGAAGGTGTCTGATGCACCGAAACTTAAGCAAGCGGAGAGTCATTACCTGAGAAGCCCCAATGTCCCATATGATTTAACACAAGGTCGGAAAAAATGAATAAACGCCAGACTTCAGACAAGCGTCTGTGGAAAAGACATCACGGACCGCCGGTTGAGTTGAGCTGATGCTCCTCCAGACGTAGGTTCTGGCAGATTTGATGTTTTCTGGGGTGGGCACTGTTCCTGTACTATGCTATTATACCACAGTGCGATATCGGTATGAGGAGGAAATGCGTGCCAATGTGAAATTAAAACCCACCTCCATTCGCCCTGATCTCCCTCCTGACGTAGGTCCTGGCGGACTCGATGTTCTCCGGCGTGGCCTGCACCATCTCGTCCGGCCGCCAGGTGGTGCTGCTGTACGAGAACGCCATCACGTTGAACCGGTCGTGTTCGCGGAGGTCCTGTGAACGGAAGTTCAGGTTCAATGGTCAACATTGGTGACCCCACGCAGGGGCGAGTCACATGGCAGGCCTAGGGAGCTCAGAAAGTTCAAATGCCGTGCATCTAGCTTCATGAACACCAATTTGCCACACTGTGTTAAGTTCCTGAACACATGTGAGAATGTCTCTCAATGATTTTCAAATATAACTAGAGGTCGGAGATCTCATGTCTTCGTCAGAGGGACATTGTTCTAGATAAAGGAACGTTTTTTAATACTAGAAATCAATTTGGTCTAGAGTACAAAAGAATCTCTGTACTCCTTTTTCCTTTTTTTATTCTACGACAGTGTCGCAAAATGTAATGAGAAGATGTGATGAAAGGAAAGAATCAGAACAGGGGAGATTTATTGCTGTTTTCGTTTGTTGTTACACTATGTTCTTTTATTCAATTTGCATCCTAACCTTTGTATTTCCACAGTTAGTATGTTCCAAATCTGTGCACGTTAATCAGGTTTTTCTGGCCTTCATGTATTTTATCGCGCTTTTGCAATAAATCTAAGGTCTCCAGTGGACGTCATCCATAAAATTACTTGGTCTGGCCTTACAATTTAGGGAATGACCTGCCTGACGCATGTCCACCTTTTTCCTCCCCCGCCCCAGTATTTACAGGACAGCCCCTCAATTGTAAGCAATTGATACCAGATGCGGCCGGGGACAGCTGTCCCCCATGTGAATCAATGCAGAGATTGGTGGGGGTAGTACATTATATATCTAACACAAAAGGTCCACTGCAGCGACATAGGGACCCCCCACGAGGCCCGTTTTCGAACTTGACCTTGGCCTCTACAATGGTAGGTTGCCTACCAAAAATCATGAACATCTGTTTAAATATACTCGAGTTATTTTGCTAACAAGCCACAAACACAAAAAAGTCCACTGCAGTGACGTACGGACCCCCCACGAAGCCCAAACTTGCACTTGGCATTGGCCTCCACAACGGTAATCTGCCTGCCAAAAATCATGGACGTCGAATAATGCCTTCAAGAGTTATTCCGCTAAATCCGCAGTCACCCACAATCCGGCGAGACAATTTCATAGTCCTTCTGACGAAGACAAATAGCGTGCTACACATTGAAACCTATTGCTCTGTTTATTCTTACTCAAACACATTCATCTACATTGCTTATGGTGACCAGCCTCCAACTCTGTTCTGCCACTTGCCACATAATGTAATCCTACAACACAGGGTGTCTGCTACAGCACCTGTTACCATGGTGTTGGTCGTTTGGGCCAGGTCGTTGGCCTTAATTGTTTGGAAAAGAATAAAGAAGAAATGAGCAAAAATGTATTCCTTTTGTGACTTGCAGGAGTGTTAAGGTGTTAGTTACCCTTCGTACCTTGAATAGAAAATTGTTCAAACAAACAAACAAACCTTGAGAACCTTAACTCAACCGTGACGGAGGGCGGTACCGACTTCCGACGAACTTTGACCCAGTGCTGACGTCACACGTGTCCACAGCACTTGGGTCATAAAGCTGATGAAGACTGGGTGATTTAGTCCACAATTTCTGGTAAGTTAATTTCTTATTGAGTTGTATAACAGTTTAATTTTGTTCACAGACCTTGAGGATGGTGTTCATGGCATGCTTGGTCTGGCGCATCTTGGTTCCCTGCATGGACCCGCTCTGGTCTATGACAAACACGATGTTCTTGGGCACGACGGGCAGGCCGGACGGCGCGAAGTAGTGCACGAAGTACCCGTTCACGATCTGCCAGCAACGGAACATATTAAATATTACAACCACTTCGGCTCTGTGTGACAATGACTCTTTACACGTTCACAATCTGGGAGGAACGGAACATAACGTCTAATGTTACACAAGGAAAATGGTAATCAAGCAACTGGATAATGTTTTTTAAAACTGTCAAACGTTTTGCTGCTTTTCCGTGCATCTTTTACTGTATTAATGTTACGCTGACTTTAGTTCAGTGCAGGGTAAGATATTGCTAAAATGTTCTGGTTAGTGCTTCAGACCAAAGATGCTAAACGTGTACTAATTATACTTCAGAATATACGTTCTTCACCTGCTGACTTGAACACTGTTACTCTACATAGACCTTTATCAATATTAACTGCTCCTAGGAGGAGCATAAGTTACTGTACAATAAAGGTCATTCATTCATTCATTCATTCATTCATTCATTCATTCATTCATTCATTCATTCATTCATTCATTCATTCATTCATTCATTCATTCATTCATTCATTCATTCATTCATTCATTCATTCATTCATTCATTCATTCATTCATTCATTCATTCATTCATTCATTCATTCATTCATTCATTCTCCCCTGCAGAGTTTTCACCTGGATATCCCCGACGCTCATGTCGCGTTTGACGTCATATCTGACCAGGAAGTCGCCGCTGATGCCTGCAGGAGACATGCGCAGTTGCTGCAGGTCGGAGGGGCGGTACTGGATGTGGGCGCGGTTCGGAGACGGGCGGGAAATCTCAGCCCCTTCCAGCTCCCCGGCTCCGTACGTGTTGTCTGCCACGCTGCGTCTGATGTTCGGTACATCTGGAGACAACAGAACAACGCTACAGGTTAGTTACAACGCTACAGGTTAGTTACAACGCTACAGGTTAGTTACAACGCTACAGGTTAGTTACAACGCTACAGGTTAGTTACAACGCTACAGGTTAGTTACAACGCTACAGGTTAGTTACAGCGCTACAGGTTAGTACTGGCGGGTTGTCTGACACTCTGCGTCTGATGTTCGGTACATCTGGAGACAACAAGGTTAGACCAAACTATCACGAAAGTTAATCTGAGTTGGTAGTTACAAGTTTAGAGTTAGAACTTACAGGTTACATTATGTAGAACTAGAAGGTACGAACCCAACAGTACGAGATCTCCTCACGTCTATTTTCAGATGTCTGACCTGTAAGTTTTGTTTTGAGAGGGACGATATTAGATCCCTGACCCGTTAGTGTTAGGTAGATGCATGATAACGTACCCAACAGCACGATGTCCCTGGTCTCTATGATCCTCACATCTATCTTGAGATGCCTCACCACCTGCTGCGGTCGTTAGTAAGTGTTAGCGTTAGGTAGATGCATGATAACTTACCCAGCAGTACGATGTCTCTGGTCTCTATGATCCTGACGTCTATCTTGAGATGTCTGACCACCTGCTGCGGACGGACGCTCAGGACCAGGTTAGTGTTAGGTAGATGCACGATAACTTACCTAGGTACCGGTATATGGATGATAACTCACCTAACAGTACGATATCCCTGGTCTCTATGATCCTGACGTCTATCTTGAGATGCCTGACCCGTTAGTGTTAGTGTTAGTGTTAGGCAGATGGATAATAACTTACCTAACAGTACAATGTCCCTAGTCTCTATAATCCTCACATCTATCTTCAGATGCCTGACCACCTGCTGCGGACGGACGCTCAGAACCAATTCGTAACTTCCCAGACGCCTTTGCAGCAGCTCCTCGTAGGTAAGGTTAAAGGTCACCTTGCTCTGCGCAGCCACGTTGACGGAAACTCTGAACTTGTTTTCTCTCTTCGGCCTGAGAGGAAAGAGAGAGGCAGAAGTCAACCCTCTGTACGAGGAGGATAAGAAATTAGTGACAAGGAAGAATAAGATTCGAAAGGACGAATGGTTAAAAACGTCACTGTGATTATCAAACATTTCAGTATTTCAGAGTGACTACTGCGGTGACTTAATACTATATTAAGTAGTAGTGGTTCATTGCAGAACATACCACAGAGGAGTATATTTTCAGGACATTTTCAGGTATATGTTAGAAATACTTGTCTGTTTTACAAACTGTCAGCACTGGCGCTGGCGCTGTGTTGAAGATGCTGCAGGTGTTGCCGGCTCACAACACCGAACAAAACGTGTTTTAATTCCTTATAAACCAGCCCAGGCCAAACGTTATAAACCCGGCTGCCCAGTTTCTCCGTCAGACCGAGGAACAGCCGAACCCTCTCAGCCCATGTTATAAACGGCACGCGATAAGCTCCATGTGGTCTGAATCCCTTCAGCCAATTTGCTTTAGCGATTAGCCGATGTCTGCTGAGCCTTTGTTTTCCCTGGGATCAAGCGGCCTGTGCCAAGGCGTCAGCTCGGAACGGTAAGCGGATTGGGATGCACGGAGCAGAGTCAGTCATTCAGGGCTCATTTCCGAAAAAAGTCTCTATCATACACATAGTAACCATTTCTCTCATCAAACTGTTAATATATATTCCATTGCATTCATGTAAGAAGGCTATCGGGCATGAACTGCTCAGGAAATATTGCAAAGGACGGGAGAGTCCTTTATTAAGTGCAGCTATTTATTTGTAGGCAGATAAGCTGGAAAAGATTTGTACAATCTTTTCTGGAATGCTGTAGAAACGTGACGGTGCCTCATGTGTATCCACAATCGTGCCTATGTAGTTTTGTGCCTGAATGGGTTATTATAAGGATCAGGCACGGTTCTGGATAGTCTCCGCGTATCCAAGAACGTAGATCTGTCCGAGGCACGGTTCTGGATACGCGTAGACTATCCAGAACCGTGCCTGAGCATGCGTCTGGATAAATCACGATTCTGGATGCAGGTCTGGATACGTGATTCTGGATGCAGCACGGTTCTGGATGCAGCACGGTTCTGGCTACAGCCAGGCCTGTCCTCACCTTGCGCTGACTTTGCCGGCACTCTGCCCCTTACTGACGGCTTTCTTGTACTCCTTCTCAGCCTTCTCCTTCTCCTTCACTTCCCCGAAGTACGTCACGTTATCAATGGTCCTGAAAAAAACCCAGCCCAAACCAACGTTAAACATCACTGCAACAGGACTAAACAAACTTCATCCTTTCTTTCCATTCTAAAAAGACAAGCTTGGATGAATCTTGGAACATCTTGGTTTCTCTTTTATTTTGAGCACTTTTGGTGCAGAAAATATTACATACCTGTACTACAATCACACACACACACACACACACACACACACACAGACCTACATGGAGAAGTTTGAGATGAAGGCGGTTTTCGGCAGGCTGACGTCGAACACCGCTTCCCGCGCCTCGCCAGCCTTGTTCGCCAGCCGACTCGTCACCACGGTCTTAGCGTAGCGTGACGTCACGGTAGACTTGATGTCCAGCGCGTAGATCTCAGGCTTTTTCTGGTCAAAGGAAGAAAAAATCTTAACGTCAAAAAGGTCTGATTCATGCGACATTAGTCTTAAAATGGTATATATCGGGTCTTAGCTGTACTAAATAGCACTGTGCTAAATTTGCATCATTATGAGAGAACAGTACTAGTCGTAGGCTGTTGGCCTAGAACTGTTAAATCAAATATTGCAAGGAGATTCATGAATTCAAGAAAAGTATAGGTGCAATTATAAGTTAGTTTACTGTTGGACCAGCATTTGGGGTGATAGGACTGGTTCTGAACAGTCTTAGCGAAAGAAAGGTGCCTGAGCATGGTTCTGGATAAAGAACGGTTCTTGATAAAGTACGGTTCTTGATAAAGTACGGTTCTGGATAAAGTACGGTTCTGGATAAAGTACGGTTCTGGATAAAGTACGGTTCTGGATAAAGTACGGTTCTGGATAAAGTACGGTTCTGGATAAAGCACGGTTCTGGATGCAACACCAGTCTCCACCTCAGCTTGGGTTTAGAGTTTCTTCCGAGAATTTGAAGGCCCGTCGCGCGCTGGAGAGGCGTGTAGCGTGCCTGCCGCGCTCACTTTAGACTGAAGCACCCTCAATTGCTCCTAGAGGGGCTCCTTCAATTCGCTCGTGCTTTCACTGGCTCGTGCCGCGGACCCCTTGTAGACGCCACTGCAACTGGCAAGCACTTCAACCCTACTCAAGACGTTGCTTTCACCACTTGGGGCAACACTTGAAGCGCTTTGTGCCACTAGTGGCCTTTCTGGACATGCTGCAGGCATCTTTATGAGACGTTCCTGAAACTTTCTGCGCGGAACAAAGCTCGAGTTTTTACACCTGAACAAGCTTCAATACGGCGCCAATCTTCAGGCGGGGAAATCTGCTGAAGAGAGAAAAGCTCACAAATAAATCTGAACGCTCTTTGGGGAGGTCTTACTGAATAAAGAGCAGTACTAGATGATCAGTTGACCTAAGTTCTCGGTATCTTTCTCAACCCCTACGCCTAAACATGCTGTCTGAACTCCCCTTCTGTCACCTCATTGTTGTCACATTGTTGTCACAGTCATCAGATTCAAGCCTACACATAGCCTATATACAAGGCGAAAAAGCGCTTTCTTCTAATATCCGATCATAAGCGGATCTACAAAACATAATGTTGATGATTGGGTTTGTTCTGTCAGGCCAACATTATACCTCACGACAGAATTGGAAAAAATAAAAAATAAAAACACGGGCGTTGACTTAGCGGTGTACCGCTGAAGCCGACGTTGCTTTAGCGTTGGTTTAGCGGTAGCGAACGTTGGTATAGCGGTGACGCAAGCGTTGGTATAGCGGCGTTCTGCGCATGCGGTTTAGCGGCATACCGCTTGTGACTACGGAGTTAAACGGATCGTTTTGTAGTAGTTTAAGTTCTGTTCTGTGTGTGGGGGGACTTATAGCTTTCATAAACATCATTTTGTTAATCTTCAAGATTTCTGCGTTGGCCTAGCGGACCCAAGCGTCCACGAACTTGCGTCTAGCGATGCCAAACTTTGACTGGGCGTTGGTAGAGCGGGGGTGAACTTTGCCGGAGCGGAAAATTTCCCCCTCCTCACCGCTCGCAATATTTTGTGCAGCTCAAAACTTTCGAAGCGGTAGGAGGGCCCCTCCAGAAACGTCAGCGGTGGCCGGGCGCACACGGCGTTGCTTTAAAGGCCCGGTCACACTGGCGGAACTTTGCTGGAGCGTTGCTTGAACGGTGAATAAAATTCATCACCGCTCGAAACCGCTCACCACCGCTAAACAGAAGTTGGCCCCCGTTAAAGCAACGCCGTGTACGCCCGGCCACCGCTGACGTTTCTGGAGGGGCCCTCCTACCGCTCCGAAAGTTTTGAGCTGCACAAAATATTGCGAGCGGTGAGGAGGGGGAAATTTTCCGCTCCGGCAAAGTTCACCCCCGCTCCACCAACGCCCAGTCAAAGTTTGGCATCGCTAGACGCAAGTTCGTGGACGCTTGGGTCCGCTAGGCCAACGCAGAAATCTTGAACGCTTGACCACCGCTGCTTCGCCAGCGTTGCCCGGGCGGCGATTAAACGTTGCACAAACGTTGCACAAACTTCGCTGGAGCGGTTGCAAGCGTTTTACGAGCGGACACGGGGTTGCTGGAACGGTTTCAGGCGTTGAAGCAGCGATCCATGTCGGCAATGAAGTTTGGTTTGGCGTTGGTATAGAGGTGTCGGAGCGGGACCAGAATTTGGCTATAAGTACGGTGAGAAATGGACCAGGTGCTCATTTGGAATCGAGCTGCCGTTGAGTTCAGGCCTCATCTATATCGAATTTGCTCGAAGTTACAGTAAAACTGTATCACCACGGATGCTGAGAGACTTGCTATGATTGGTGCACTAGTGTGCAATTATTTTGGGGCCACACGTAAAATGTTCAAAGAAGGGTCACACGGGCAATAACTTTATTGGGGTCACAGGGGAACTTTGCAATCTGCAAAGTTTTATTTTCATTATTAATCAAATAACGTAGTCAAGAATAGATTAACAAAATGATGTTTATAAAGCTATAAGTCCCCACACACACAGAACAGAACTTGAACTACTACAAAACGATCCGTTCAACTCCGTAGTCACAAGCGGTATGCCGCTAAACCGCATGCGCAGAACGCCGCTATACCAACGCTTGCGTCACCGCTATACCAACGTTCGCTACCGCTAAACCAACGCTAAAGCAACGTCGGCTTCAGCGGTACACCGCTAAGTCAACGCCCGTGTTTTTATTTTTTTTTCCCCACATTTTGGGCGCGGTGACGAGCGTTGTCGAAATTCGGCCCCCGTCCCTACCGTTAAAGGAACGCTCCAGCAAAGTTCGGCCAGTGTGACCGGGCCTTAACGGGGGCCAACTTCTGTTTAGCGGTGGTGAGCGGTTTCGAGCGGTGATGAATTTTATTCACCGTTCAAGCAACGCTCCAGCAAAGTTCCGCCAGTGTGACCGGGCCTTTAAATCCGTCAGCATGTGCAGCGGAAGTACGTGACGTTTGCTGAAGGGTGGTTTAGATCTTGTCCAACTTGAGGTTTACAGATGGGAGTTTCAGATCGGAGGTTTCTTGGAACAGCGGACGCGACCGACGGGACTAAGACCAGATGCAAACCGCGAATCGTGCATTTTACTGAACCACTACAAGAACATTGGGAAACAGTAATACACCAATATCCCCATCCTGGAACTGTCCTATTGAACATCGTTAGTGATAAGATGTAACAAGACACCGTTAACGCCATACCTGCCCCCAACTACAAACTATAATACAGCTTCTCCCCACAACAGAGAATGTTTAGGTCAGGAAAAGCTGTTATCTCTGTTGTAGGGAATGTTTAGGTGAGGAAAGTTGTAGCTCTTGTCTCTGTCGCAGGTCATGAACAGAAAAAGCGCCGAGTCAGCGCCCGACATTGGCCTTGTGTTACATGTTTACGTCTGAAGGTTTAGAGTTCGCCCGTCGCGGAAATGCGCCCCACATGTAATCTCTGTCGGGCCTTCTGGCCCTCTGCCATGCTTCCTGTCGGGAGGTACTTTCAACACTAACTCGCAGATGCCGAGTGTTGCCATTGAAGAGAAAAGAAAAGTTTTCAAAAACAAACAAAGACTTCTGAATTCGAGTCTTTGATTCGCCGCGAAAAGGTTCAAGGTACTCTTGACTTTATTTTATCTTGTCGGCAGGGTGACTTTTTGGCAGTTTCAAACTTAGCTCGGGAGAGGAAAAAGGGTTTAGATGTGGTTCATCTGATAATGTTTGAGGTGTGGCAATCTCTAAGTCGATGTTTGGAATTAGACCGATTCTGGATATCTAATACAATTAGCGGTTCGACCAATAGTAGCAGGGCGATTAGCGGTCTGACCAATGGGACTTTCTTATGTTGTAAGAAGCTCCATTGTGACGCGGTGTGCTGCGTTGGAGTAAAGAACCTACCCGGAATTCCGAAAACCCAAAGTCAAGTCGGAAGACAGTATCAGCGGAGTCAAGTCAACTCTACTTTAACTCCCGCACATACAATAACAATAATCCATCTAACGCCAGCACCGGAAGAGGATAAGAATAAGGTTAAGAATAAGAGTGTGTGACTTTTATACCAGGTGAGCGGGTTTGGGAAATGCCACTAAAGGTCAGGGTCGGGGGGGGGGTGATCCACCGAGAACCGTCAGTAGGACATGTCGCCAGCGACACCGGTTACCAGGAAGGTCTAGAGATAAAAGAACGCGTCTAGTTGTAGGGATACACAAAATAATGTCGCCCATACCCCAGTGATACGTGCATGTCTGCAGTTGAACTGGAGACCCCTAGCTCACCCCCATGAAACTCCTTCCTCTTCGCCCCCGCCGTTCTGCTTCGCCCCCGCCCCGTTCTGCTTCGCCCCGCAAAAATCTGCTTCGCCCCCGTCGTTCCTCTACGCCCCCGGCGCAATTCTGCTTTGCCCCCGTTCTTCTGCTTAGCCCCCAATGGCTAATCGTCTGCAAAATAACAATAAAGGCTGTGCCGCCAAATTTAAAGTAGCCCATGCTCCGGCAAACATTCTGGACCACCTTTCTGCCAAGTGGCGTTGCACAAATCCTTCCCATTCAAAAGTTTACCCCTTCCTCACGGCCCGTCAGTGGTTCTTACGTTTATAAGTACTGGCGNATGCAACACCAGTCTCCACCTCAGCTTGGGTTTAGAGTTTCTTCCAAGAATTTGAGAGTCGCAAACCCAACCCAGCGGCGTGTAGCGTGCCTGCCGCGCTCACTTTAGACTGAAGCACCCTCAATTGCTCCTAGAGGGGCTCCTTCAATTCGCTCGTGCTTTCACTGGCTCGTGCCGCGGACCCCTTGTAGACGCCACTGCAACTGGCAAGCACTTCAACCCTACTCAAGACGTTGCTTTCACCACTTGGGGCAACACTTGAAGCACTTTGTGCCACTAGTGGCCTTTCTGGACATGCTGCAGGCATCTTTATGAGACGTTCCTGAAACTTTCTGCGCGGAACAAAGCTCGAGTTTTTACACCTGAACAAGCTTCAATACGGCGCCAAACGTCAGGCGGGGAAATCTTCTGAAGAGAGAAAAGCTCACAAATAAATCTGAACGCTTTTTGGGGAGGTCTTACTGAATAAAGAGCAGTACTAGATGATCAGGCGACCTAAGTTCTCGGTATCTTTCTCAACCCCTACGCCTAAACATGCTGTCTGAACTCCTCTTCTATCACCTCATTGTTGTCACATTGTTGTCACATCATCAGATTCAAGCCAACACATAGCCTATATACAAGGCGAAAAAGCGTTTTCTTCTAATATCCGATCATAAGCGGATCTACAAAACATGATGTTGATGATTGGGTCTGTTCTGTCAGGCCAACAAAATGCAGTTATACCTCACGACTTCATTCAGAATTGGACAGGGGTTTACACGATACCGGTCAGGTTAAAGAAAACACAGGAAGCCGCAAAACCCCCATGCACACCCGGAGATGTCCGACTAACATGCCGCATCACGAGCGGCGGAAGTACGTGACTCACGGCTGGCACGTTTGCTGAAGGGTGGTTTATATAGATCCTGTCCAACTTGAGGTTTACAGATGGGATTTTTAGATCAGAGGTTTCTTGGAACAGCGGAAGCGACCGACGTGACTAAGACCAGATGCAAACCGCGAATCGTGCATTTTACTGAACCACTACAAGAACATTGGGAAACAGTAATACACCAATATCCCTATCCTGGAACTGTCCTATTGAACATCGTTAGTGATAAGATGTAACAAGACACCGTTAACGCCGTACCTGCCCCCAACTACAAACTATAATACAGCTTCTCCCCACAACAGAGAATGTTTAGGTCAGGAAAAGCTGTTATCTCTGTTGTAGGGAATGTTTAGGTGAGGAAAGTTGTAGCTCTTGTCTCTGTCGCAGGTCATGAACAGAAAAAGCGCCGAATCAGCGCCCGACATTGGCCTTGTGTTACATGTTTACGTCTAAAGGTTGAGAGTTCGCCGTCGCGGAAATGCGCCCCACATGTAATCTCTGTCGGGCCTTCTGGCCCTCTGCCATGCTTCCTGTCGGGAGGTACTTTCAACACTAACTCGCCCATACCGCACATTGAAGAGAAAAGAAAAGTTTTCAAAAACAAACAATGACTTCTGAATTCGAGTCTTTGATTCGCCGCGAAAAGGTTCAAGGTACTCTTGACTTTATTTTATCTTGTCGGCAAGGTGACTTTTCGGCAGTTTCAAACTTAGCTCGGGAGAGGAAAAGGGTTTAGATGTGGTTCATCTGATAATGTTTGAGGTGTGGCAATCTCTAAGTCGATGTTTGGAATTAGACCGATTCTGGATGCCTCACACAATTAGCGGTTCGACCAATAGTAGCAGGGCGATTAGCGGTCTGACCAATGAGACTTTCTTATGTTGTAAGAAGCTCCACTGTGACGCGGTGCGTTGCGTTCGAGTGAGGCCCTGTCCGGAATTCCGAAAACCCAAAGTCAAGTCGGAAGACAGTATCAGCGGAGTCAAGTCAACTCTACTTTAACTCCCGCACATACAATAACAATAATCCATCTAACGCCAGCACCGGAAGAGGATAAGAATAAGGTTAAGAATAAGAGTGCGTGACTTTTATACCAGGTGAGCGGGTTTGGGAAATGCCACTAAAGGTCAGGGTCGGGGGGGGGGGTGATCCACCGAGAACCGTCAGTAGGACATGTCGCCAGCGACACCGGTTACCAGGAAGGTCTAGAGATAAAAGAACGCGTCTAGTTGTAGGGATACACAAAATAATGTCGCCCATACCCCAGTGATACGTGCATGTCTGCAGTTGAACTGGAGACCCCCTAGCTAGGATGTAACAAGTTGAAATCCCGGTGGATCTATATAATCTCTGCCCACAATGTTGCGCCGTGTCCGCTAAGGCTTGACTTGCACCCGTCACATCCCCGTGTTTAGATGCTGTTTATTTTTCTTGCTCGGGTAAAGTAAAAACAGACTAGTTCTGACTAAACACGGGGCGGGGGAAAGAGGGAGTACAACTGTTGAACAGGTTGGCTGAGCTCAGCAACTTTTAATTAGAACGATTCACTGGTGTCCTGATAGATGATAAGATTGTCACTAGTGGAGGCTTCGGGGGGGG